AATATACAGTAAGAATAGAAAGAGAACAGATTACTTTATTGTGGTATGCGTATGCTCTATTTTAGTAAATTTATTGCGATAAATTTCCGGTTGTCTCTTCTCACGAATTTTGGCAAGAGAGCTTAACGAGGAGAGAAATGGCGAAACGAAGACTGCTTTTAGCATCATTCGTAGTAGGATTTTCTTTGCTAAGTGATCTAGGGAGTAATTGGATATATGCATAATATATACAAAATATGTAAATATATTGTTTTCAGTCAGCCAACTCCGTTTCGTCGTGCCAACTAATTCGCAAAATGTTAGCAAGTCAGCAAACATATGTACATATTTAAGGATATATGAATATTAGAATGAACTTCCGTTTCGAAATGTAGACTAAGTGATTTTCACCGCTGTGTGTATTGGAATAGTTACACAAATATCAGATATATACATAAACATATTCATACATATATGTATGTAAGTCGGTGAAGGAATGAGCACAAGTTATTTTTCAAAAACTCTTTTGTCACTTTCACGCCGATTTTTGTAAATGTATCTTGCGTTTATCATATAAATACTATACAAATTTTCGTCAGGTGTTTTTTGAACATATTTTTTTGAGTATAGAAGCTCGTATATGCACTCATTCCACTTCAGTGTGGATTCGGATGCCACATAATCCATCACACATATCACAATTAATGACTTTCACACACCCACAGACACAAAAATATTTAACTTTCAAAGAATTTTTGTTTGCCCGCCGAGTGTACTATAGTCAACTATATCGCATCTTCAGTTACTTGCGAGTAATTTTGCGCCATAAATCATGAGCTAACTACATTTAATCGTTTTAGTCATGACGCTATAATTTATGCATATTCTATAGGAGCTGTCACAAACTTACCTGCCTGTCTGTTCTATGAATTTTTTCTTTAATAAATTTGGCTGTGTATATATTTTCCTTTATTTTTTATTTATTCTTAATTTTTGTTTTATTTTATGTTTTGCCTCGTTGAACTTTTGTTTTGCTTGCTTATTTACCACACGTTTGCCTGAGTCACTTGCCACCTGGCTTTTCACACACGTTTTCCTCCAGCATGCAGGGCTCACGTCACGGTGTCATTAGCAATGGCGTCAATTGACACATTATCGAGTGAAGGTGCGCCACGCGGTTTGTGAATAATTCAATAACTCATGGAAAATCAGTTTTAAATAGCATTTTACAGATGAAACCCTCGCTCTTCTAAGGAATTTTATTAGCAGCTTTGGGAATTTTATTGTAGTTGTAACAGATTACATTAGTTTGACCAAGGTGGGTGTGACTTTGAACACTGTTCGAACAATGATTACTTAGATGTAGTTAAATGCTATTAAAGAGTTAATATTCAATTTTTTCAACGCAGAGGATAACATTAACATAAAATAAATAAAAGTAGCTGAGGAGAGTTGTTTGATATAGTATTTTACAGAGTAATCGTATGGAGAAAAGTATTCTTTATACCGTTGTTTCTAGAAAAAAATTCCTCAAAAAATCAATATCATATAAAAAGATCAATGGAGTTCACAACCGAGAGAATTATGTATTTATTTATTTATACAATAGATGATTCTACAACCCAACTGCTAACCATCATACTAACTGAATTGGAGGATTATATTATTTTCCACACATTCAGTGACGGTTCTCATTAGGTAAGGCTCGAGTGTAGAACTCCATACTAAATCCTTCGAACGTAATAAGGCCAATATTTTATTAACACTAATACCATGATGAACTGGTCAGTACGAAGTGTTAGTATTGATAGAAATCTCGGTGTACAAAACAAGGTTAAATTATAGTAACAAGTAGAAAGAATGGTAGATAAACAATGGTATTATCGCTTTAGCAATCCGCTACTAGTAAGTTGTTTAGGCACTAGTGACACCGGACTCAGAAGTTATAATGCCACATATTAAATCTAGAAAATCGAGAGATTTGGACTCTCCATCCTTTCGGCAGCCACTCTTTGTACATATCAGAAATGCTCTAAAATATAAATATTATAACACAATTTTTTTGGATCGAAAATCTTGTGAAACTTTTTATAGCAGAGAGACAACAAGTTTTCGATATCACCTTGGTCATTCTAGATATTTAAAAGAGTCAAAATTACACAAATGGGCTTACTAATGCTACTGATTAAAATAAATGGTCACATCTACGTAAATTTTCATATTGCTTGTGGCACAAAAAAATATTTCTATCTATTGAAGAGCTTTATAAAACGCCACAATATTTATTCGCCTTAAATGTTTGAAATGTTGAACTTTTGTAAATATTAAATGAATTTTTAGTTTTTAGTGCTTTTTCCAACAATTTGTCCAACCACATTTCTCAATTACTTTTACACGTACAATAATCTAAAGTACCCGAAAATAGTTATTTTATTACAATACTACGATTTTCTACCACTATTCCGGTCTTTTTAAGCTGCAGATGCTATAAGCATTCAATTAATTTGTTTTATAACTCATAATAGGTGTTAATTTTTCACAAATTACAAAAAAACGTTATCCAATTTACAAAAAAAAAAAAAAAATTGTAATAAAATAAAATCACTTGATACCCGCAGAACTTTGTGAAAGCCACAACATTCAACAGCCGTCAGGCGTTTGGTTTGCCTTTTTCGCTTTCTCCGAGCTTTCGCCTTGCAAGGCACAACTTTCCAAGCCAATTTTACTAGTTTGTAGTACCCTCTCCTCTTTGGCACTGCCTGTGTGAAACATTCACTGCCGAGTTCAAGGAAGTTTTTATTATTGTTGTTGTTGTTTTCGATTTGTCGAAGTTCTTGCTAGTGATTTACGCATCTACGATTGACTCGACATGACTTTCGCAATGAAAGTGTCGTTGGTTTGGGAAAGTGTGTAGGTTGTTGTGTGACAATATTGAATGGTGCAACAAAAACCAGAAAGCAAATACTAGCAATTGATATCAATAGAAAATTTTATCCAAGTTTAACTACTTTTACTCATTGTTACGAATTATCGACGCTTTTGGATATTCTTCTTTCACTACTACCCCGCCCATTCCTGAGACATGCCGAAACGCACGTTGGCATTTCGCTACTGATTCGTTGAAGACATTTTTCGTATCCTTGATACAAGTTTTAAGTGCGTAGAATGTATGTTTATATGCATGTATTTGTGTTTCGACGCTGTCCTTGGCAATGAAGTCAAAATTAATGTTGAGGGAAACTCGAAAATGAAGAACAGCTGTAGTTAAGAAGTCTAAGTAAGTGATTGTTTAAGTGGCAACAAGAATTCTGTGTGCCACTAGCTGAAGTTCATGTTCAAGGGATAAGCAAAAAATCATAAGATAAGATAAAAGCTTGTAAAGGCTATCGAACATTCGTGTACTAACTCGGTTGTAGAGCTTTCAGCATTAAATTTGTTACGAAATATTTCTTAAAAAGCTTTCACGACATTTGCTGCTTTTAGAGCTTTCAATGTGTTTACGTGGTTTGCATTACTTAATACTAAATGTTATTGCAATCAATATAGTTTTCGCTTTCTAAGCTTTCGATAGTTTCTCATATTCCCTAATGAAAGCAGTTTAAAGCTTTTGATATTTATATAAGAACTTTGTATGCAGCTTTTGATAATACCGGATTGATTAAGTACGCACTAGCGTATAGAGCTTTCGGAAAACAATTATTCTCTAAATATTATCCTTAGAGCTTTCGAAATATTTTTAGTTTTATGAGCTTTTCAACCCCCTAAAACATTAAATTCAGTCAAAATATTATTTTAAATCTATTTTGTAAATTTCCTTGGGTTTAAGTTGCATTTGAATGAAAGCTGATGAACATACTAAGTAAAAAACAGTTAGAGCAACTTTCAGAAATTTCAGCTTACTTACTATATTACCACTTTTAAGTAATCTGACCCCTATGGAACATAATTTTATTTAAAAAACTGGTTTAAGAGCTCTCTTAAACTTTTCTTCCTGAAACCTGAGCAACGATTTTATTACATAAAACTTATAAAATAGCATTTCTATCTAACCAAAACCCCCTCATTGTCTCCATTTCCTCACTCTACATCCACCCTAAGCTTTATTAGTACATTTGTATTTATAACTAAAATAGGTTGACTACATTTATCGTTACCTCAAAGGAAAAATTCTCAAATCGTCTAAAAGCAACTCAAAGCAAGCGGAGTTTTTTTTTTATTTATTTGCTTAAACTTTGTAGACGCTTTGTTGTTGCTATACTTACTTTCCACTAACTGTCGCCAGCGCGCTACACCAAAGGCTGGTCACCAACACGCAAACATTATTGCCCGGGCACTTACTTTTTTGCATGAAATTGGTTAAACACTCAAAGCTGCCTTTGTGACTTGCCCCAAGAGCAGCGAATTTACTTTGCTTTCGCAGCAGGCTTTAAAGTGCATAACCCTGAACCGCAACCAGTTTTGCGTTTTAATATTATTTTTTTATTTTTTTATCCCTTTTTTTCCTTTATTTTTTTACTTCTTGTCATGTTGCCGGCAACTTGCTTCCTTTGTGTGTTGCATTGTTGATTGTATTTGTAAATTTGAAATTAATTTAAGGATTTTATTATACGATTTCTGCTTGGTTTGATATTTTTTTTTTTTTTTTATTTGAATTATTTTGTACAATTAATTATTTTAGGACACTAAGCTCGAGCTGCATGCCACATTTGCTTCCTTGCCACTTAATCTACGCAAACCAAAAGTCAACTCAATTTTCAAAGTGAAAACTTGCCATTGACATTTCATTAAATGCGCTTTAACGGTACACCCACATCAATTTCACATACACAAACTACAGTTGACACACTTGCCGCATCTTATTTCAAGTCATTAGCTAAAGTTTTTAGATACGGCGCTAATAAGCGCTACTTGCCACCTTCACTAGCTGTCTGTCTGACTTACTTAGTGAGTTGGGAAGTTCAGTTAACTTACAAAAACAACAAAAAAGTTTTTCATTTCTCACTCACCTTTTTCCTCAAAGTTGCCTGCCAGCTTAATGTCGATCGTCATGAAGTAATCCCGCACGCTGCTGCATGTTCGCGTGTGTTCAAAATTTTACTGGTCGAATCGCGCTGCAAACGGCGCCTGTGATGTGCATGCTGTTGTTGTTGCTCATGATGAGCATGAAAATGACGACCATCGAGACGTTTCGCGTCGGCTGCCGATGGCAATGCCAAACAACTGCTGGCCACTAAAACAGCAATGCAAACTTGCAACAGCAAAAATAGTCGACGTAGTTGTTGCTTTTTATGCGCTGCTGCTGTTATTGGCTTTGTGGCATTCCGTTTGCCGGCAACTTCGACGGCGTGAGCCATACTAGCGCGTGTAGGTGTGTATACGTGTAAGTAGTAACAACAAATTTGGTGCGCATACTTTTTGCTTATTTGCTGCTATTGTTGTTTGGCTTTGGAGCGCTTAATGTGTTATAAACGTCTGACTGGCGGTACTTAACTGCTTTTAATCTACTTTAATTATTTAGACTGTTGTTTTAATTTATTTTATTTTTTATTGTTGTTATATTTTATTTTATGAACTTTTGTTGTAACGTCGTCGGCAACTTCCCTTTGATGTAACACTATGCAAATAATTAACACATTGGTCTGCCTTCTTTTCCTAGGCTATAATAGCGCGCGGTGATATAAAGGCTCAATGTCTCTATTGCTCAGCAGCTGATTTTTCTTTTCGATTCACATGTTTCCACTCCGCGCACACGCTTCTGATGACAATCAATCACTTTTACATAAACAAAAAAAAAAAAAAATTGCACAAGTACTTGTAGCTATTAAACGTTCGTTAGCAACAACGCTTCTGTGTTTCAATTGCTTTTGTTATTATGTTTTTCTGTTCCGACAACGCGCAATCAATAATCGCTTGCTCTGCTTTGAGTATCTTTACATTCAGTTATCTGTTTCCACTATTATTAGGCATTCGCTCGCAATAACACTGCGAGCGCTTAAGTGAAGAGTGACATAATCCTCTCTAGGCCACAATAACACGACGCGCTATAAAAAACACAAAAAATTCAAGACCAACGAAGCCGGTCATGACGCTGCTTACACTGCTACACTTCGCGAAAATACGAAGCCAAAATACGAACTACAGCAACAAAACTCCTTATAGCAACGTGAAATTAATTAAATTAAATTCATTTGCGCTGAACTCTGCACCGTTACTTAGCACACATTTATATTTTTGCAATGATTTCTGAACTTTTTTTTTCTGTTCGCTTTAACGCACTCTCATTTCTCATTCTCACTCATTTCTTTGATTTTTTTACTCACTTCGTGTTTATTCGCTTATATTTCATGCATTGATTCTGTTATTGCATATTTCATTTATTGTTATAAAACTAATAATTACTTTGCTTAATCTCTCATTATTAAAAGTAACTTTGCACATTTGTACTCATCATAAGCTGGCTATTACAATTTCACGGTATTTCTTTTAATTTTATTATATCAATTTTATTTCTTAACTCGCGTTAAATAAGCCACACTACAATTTTTGACATCCGAACACTCCGACATGTCGGGTACGTATAATGTTTGAGGGAGAGAATTGTGAGAAATGTCCGTTGTAGTTTGGATCGAACATTGTGTTGGATGCTCGTCTCATACAAGTTCGTTATTAATGTTCGTTGTTAATGTTCGATCGGACGGTTCGTGTCGAGTGTTTGAGTTGGAACTGAATGCCGGTAAGTTTTATTAGCTATTACAGTGGTGGCGTTGGAAAAAGTGGTGATTGTAAGTATTTTATTTATTTATTTTTTATTTATTTAAAAGAGAAATAATTATAAATAATCGTTCCACTTATAGATATAAAGTACTGGCTGCCAGGGCCTTCAGCTTATCCGAAATCCGAAAATTTAGCTAACAGACCGGCCAATTCAGAGCAGAAAGCAGAAGTGATGGTACTTAAATTTACGACAAGCGATCATTATACAACAGCAACAGCAACTTTTAGGAAAAAAGTTTCGACAAACAATTTTATAAATAATTTAAGCAACTTTAATTTTTGTTTCAGCCAATTTTATAATAAAATATACCATTTCGATGTGAAGTTTTTAATGGAGCTTTCAATATGTATACTCAATTTCAACTAATGTATCTTCGAATGTATAAATTGTCTGAATTAAAAGAAAAAAGCATGAAACAAATCGATTGATGATTTCCAAGATTAATTGCAAGTCAATATTTCAGTTGGAGGCGTTTTGATTTTTGAAAGCTATTGTTTAGAAAGTAGTCTCAATTTGAGGAGTCAATAGGGTAATCTGGTCCGTTTCTTTTAAAAAAAATTTTTTATAGAAATTTTTATTCTACATTAGATTTTTTTTTCACATATCATGAGGTATATCGTGAAGTGTATAAACAAATGTTTTCAGAATTTTTTTATGACATCTGTCGGAGAAATGGCTGGGTGAATTATATGCCTTTTTTCACTGGCAAGCACGATTTCTCATGTTTAGATCATCTGAAACACAAAAACCCAATTAATTCTTAAAAGGTAAGTAAATGGTTATCGTCCCTACTATAATCATTATATATGCAAGTCATTAACTTTATTTTTTTTTAGCGCTCCGAACGTCGAGCGGTATTTTTATTTTTGGGTGGATTTCTACATTAATTCTAATGTTATAAGGGAACAGAAAATGATAAAAAAAAAAAAATTGAAAAAAGGTTACCCTACTGACCCCTAAATTTCCTTGGAAGAAGTTTTTTTGTTCTTTGGATTAGAGTCCAACATCTTTGAACCAAATTTTCTAATTAATATTTTTTTTATTCTATTGAGTTCGATCGCACTTGCCATCACTTATAGGAGCTATCCATAAGAGACAGTGGCAATTATTAGTATATACTAAGAGGTTTCCATGTTCGACTAAAGCGGAAGTCAAGTAAATATCTACGTATTTGAAGTTCTTTGTTTGAATTTTATTTAAAAGCACAGGTCAGAGCTCGCAACAACTTGTAGGTTCTATCAATGAATTTATAAATTCTTGGTACACAGAAACTCTTTAGCTGAAGTTTCAGTTTTCGATACCAATCAACAAAAGATCTCCCGATCGACCATAAATCAAGTAAAATATTTTTCAATATTTTAGTTATGATTGAGTTATTGGTCATATTTGGGACGACTTTTTATTTTCGTTACGTTAAACAAGCTACATATATCGTCTTGGTTGCATCCAAAGGAAAKGGCCGTTAATTGTGAGGTTTTGGGTGGCATATTAATAAGTTAAGACTTAATCCACTAAAATTTTAATTTTAAATTTAACTCACGAAATGAGTTTAACAGTTTTGCGACATGAGTGTCGTGTTGACTCACTCTATCTGCAAAGTCGCTTAAACACGAAACCGAGTGCCGAAGCAATTGTGATATATGGCTTTGCAGACATTGACCTTGATTATAAAAAAATTTTTTTTTGGACTTCTTAAAACATTAGTGGAAGCTAGACTTGACTGCTGATCTCTCCCAGTTGAATCCGAGTCCGGTCGCATATTGTTATTTCCTTTGAGTTTTACTAACATATGTAACTATATATCAGAATATTGAAATACTATATATTTTCTGATCAAAAAAATAAAAATAAAAACACTCGCTGCCTTTGCACTAATCTTGTATCTGATGGTAGTTGTTAGGAATGTATGAAATGAAAGCTTTATTTGTGAGTTCGACCAAAGCATGTCTGTGCAGCTTTGGTGGTTTTTCAGCTCTGATTACACTGTTATTGTAGCGGCAGAAAACATATCTGAAGTAATTTAGAGCAAAACTGCCGACAAATATTCTTTTCCGTTCTAGTTACTTCGAGCCAGGGATAATGGGATGCCCAACTTATTCCAGCGTAAGAGCGCCTCAAAATAAGCCTTTTTTATAACATTTTCCATTATGGCCAGATCGCACCAAATAAGAATTTTTGGACATTTTGGCGAACCTACTCAATTCCTTTTTATGATTTTATGGTATATTAAAACAACTGACTTCGATATTTCAATACTTAATAAGGTGAATTAGGCCTGTTAGTTCTAAATTAATAAATGTTTTTAATTATTTGTAATAGAAAATTAAATCTATTATGCATCAAATTACAAAACGTTTCATAATATATATTTCAATTCGCATTTTCTTTGATTTTCATTATTTTAAATTTTTATTAGCGATCTTGAACGGCGGCAATAAATTCTTCCGTTCACATATATTTTTGGTATAATTTCAATCTTCCAGTCATTCCAATTGCAAAACGTCAAAACCTACTCAATCCAGTGAACTGTCAAAGTTCGGCAGGTTTTGACGTTTTGCAATTGGTCTCTCACTTCCAGTGAGAGAGGAGTTGGAGATCTCATTATCTCTGCTTCGAGCCGACTGTCGTGGAAAGCATTGATAACTTGATACGAGACCCTATGGTTCGAGATAGAGCTGTCAAAACTCGCATTTTTTACATTTGCCAATGATGCCACTGCTGAAAATATTAGCTTGGGTATTTAATAAATTATACAAAACACTAAATTAAACCTTTTGGAAATGCATACATATATAAATGCTAAAATGCAAAATCATTAATTAATTTACATAAACATTTATTTTGCCAAAATATGTTCGCACAGTTCAATGAAATTTCATTTCACACTAATTTCGTCAAGTAATTATAGCGCTGYTCTTCTGGCATCCCGCCTTTTTCACTAACTGCTGGTTGGCGGCACCCTGATTGTGTTTTGTTGCCAGCTCAGAAAACAGATCAGGGTGCCCTGCCAGCTGACAAGCGAGAGAGCAAGAAAAGAGATTATGATCAATTTATCCATGATGGAAAGGCGATGTCTATGCTTTATCCTGTTTTTTTTTTCTAAATTTATGTATCTTGAGCTAGATGAGAAACACTGAACTCGATGCGGTAACGAAACCGTAGCTTGAGTGTTTCTGACATTTGTAGCCCATCGGTTTTCTGCAATCTAAAGTTAGTATAGTCTATTTAACCAGAGGATTTTCTCGCAATACAAATTGAATTGACGTTTTGTAGGATTTTACACCTTCGCGACATCATTACAATAAATGACCAAACCTTTAATTCCGTATTCAATATTAATGAGACCAGTAGTGTTGTGATGAATAAGTGCAAGGCTTCAGAGAGTGAGAGCATTTTGGACTCCAACAGCGTTGTTGACATTCATAACTTCCAAGGAATTTCATTTGTTTGAGAAAGGAAAGGAACATCTAAAATACATCGAACTGGATGAATGCTAGCTCTAAATTGAGGCTCCGAATTATCAAGATCTCCTCGATTAGATCTAGTTTCTAATTTAAGTATGATGGGCAACAAAGAAACATCTCCAGTTTAAGACACCTTCGAAGTTTTCAAATTCTTTGTTTTAAGGCCGCTCTTGAAATAAGTTGGATACTGCTGACACAAAAAAAAAAGTTTCGCAAAAAATTCTCTAAGCTCTTGAGTTGAGATTGACTAATATTATGGCCTCTTTTTCCTTATTATATTATTCCTTTTTATAAGGTGCGGGCTCAGATGTTGGATTCTCACATATTAAATGTTTTTTTTTTTTATATTAAACCCAGCCCACATTTCGTTGGATGGTACATACTCTTTTTCAAATTCGTTAAAGTTACTTCAGCAAAGCTTACCTTGTTTGATTACGTAACTCCCTGACATTATTATAAATTAATTTTCCTCAGGTCAATCCGTTATTATCGGAATATTTTACAATGAGCTTCTCAAAAATACACATTACTACAAAACATACACATTCACTCTTTGCCGCCAAAGTCATCAATAAATTTCCCCAGAATCCTCATCTGGCCCCCTCTGAAACGGAAAACGAAAAAGCAAACAACAATAGGCATTCACTCAACGCAAAAGCTTATCTATTCGATGAAGCGACCAAACATGATACATCCATCATCTCCTCTGCACCGCAGCACCAACAAATAGTTGCATGCAACAATACAGCATGCCACACTGCCCATACACGGGTTTCCGTGCAGACGAAAACAGAATCGGAAAATCGCAAAAATTAGTTAATTCATCAGAGTATAGTGTAAAATCAACTCACCACTCCCTCCACGCTTCCGTCGGGTGGCAGACTGGACACAAATTCGCGTGAATTGAAAACAATCTCACTTTTCATAGATGCGTGTGAGCTCTCGGACAGATACCACTAGCGTATATGTGTGTGTATGTTCGAGATAGACAAGATTGTGTTTTCGTGTTTGAATTAACATCACTGTCAATATATCGAATGTCGGCACTCACCTGAAAACCCTTACCTCACGAAGTTATGAAACTTGTTCAGCACTTACAGTCGCCTGCTCGCCGCTGAGACCATGGTTTTACTGAAGAATTCGGTTGGAAATTTATGAGTTCACATCGATCATACTTGTAGCTGAGCAAACCTACTGCTTGTCCATCAGCTGGGATCCTTCCGCTTCCCATTCCTTCAATAGCCACAGCGTTCAATTACTATGCTTGTTTTTTCATAGACCTCTTTGTGTACATATGGTATGTATGTAACACCATATGGGCCATCTGAATGTTTCATGATGAGTTGCGTGCTTCTGTCCATGACAGGCGAGCAGTGGAGTGATTGCTCTTCAATATAATCGATTTCTTCTGTAATGTTCTATTTGCCTGATGATTCGGATGAAAAATCAAGTGTAATATCGCTCTGTGTAATATCTTAAATTTTGTGGTCATAAGGCTATTGGAGTTAAAATAAATTTCAGAAACATTAAAACTTATTAAATGGCTTATTACTTGGCGAGGTTTTAAAGTTCGGAGTTCCTTTTAGCACCAAACATAACTGGAATATGTGCATATCCGAACACTCATTTTTTTTTTTTTTTTTTTTTTTTTTTTTTTTTTTTTTTTTTTTTTTTTTTTTTTTTTTTTTTTTTTTTTTTTTTTTTTTTTTTTTAGAGCGCAGGTAATGCCTTCTTGGCCTCTTGGATCATTTTCATGATCTCACCTGATCATTGCCATGCGGCTTGATTGCTCTAGCTTCTATCTGCTTGATACCAACATATCCAACGAAGAGCAAACACACCGAAGCACGGAATTTGCGAAGCGATGCAAAAAAAATGGAAGCGAATGGAATGGTACTGCTTCGAACACAGACCAATTGACGACGAAAAGGTAACAACAACAACTACTGCAGAAAGGAAGCAGTGCAATTGTGGCAATGAGGCACGAGTAACTGAATGTGGATGTATTGGCTGAGCAGTGAATGAACGGACAGCCAAATGCACTGTAGGTGGCGTATGTGGAGGCTCAAGTGTCAGAAATTAATAAAACAGCAGTTTTAAGTTGCATGTATGGCATTGTTGTTGTTGTTTTCGTTTTCAACTTTTTGTTGTGGCTTTGAGGAAATCATTGATGTTGTTATGGACTTTGTTTTGGTTATTTTTGTTGGTATTGTTGTCGTTATTATTTTCACAACGAAATCATGGTACACGCATGCTCACGTTCACTCAACAAGTACATACATTTATGTATGTATGTGTATAGATCTATAACCACATGCTTGGTGGCACTCCTTCCACATGCTTGGATACTCCTTCATATGAGATCGCACAAGAATTTGCAATATTTCTTATTGAAGTCACAAAGCTGCATTTGCACTCGAGCAAACAAATTCCTCATCAAAGGAATATCCAACTTGGCCTCAACTGATGCAGCTCGAAATCACATTTTATTTTATTGCATTTTCGCTCCTTTTTCTGCTTTCTCATCTTCTTCAAGCATATAACTCTGGACAAATGCAGATATGTGAGTTCAAAAGGTGCGTGCCGAATGTGACGTAACTCTTGCCATTGGAGGCAGTGCACCTAGTACTTCCACATGGAAGGATTTTTCCATCTGCCAAGTCGAATGTGTTCTTTTAGGCAATTTGCCACTGCATGGTTGAATGTAATAGGATTTTATCAGGCCTTCCGCAGCAAGTGGCAGATTACCTGCAATAAAAGGAGGGCAGCTTCTTAAAACGGAAATTTCGAATGAAATTTTTTGAATTTCTACAGAATTACATTTTTAAATCATGAGTGAAGCCATATTCGATCCTCAAGGAATCAATGCATGTAAATGGAGGTCGAAATTGAATAAAGGAAAGAGATGCTCTCCCTTTTACTGTGTGAGTTCTTGCATTGTCATGGTGAAGAGGCGGTTTTACTGATTTCTTGAAAGACAACATATTATAGTGTATCAAACAGAATTAATTGTTATGCTTTGTTCTCCTGGTATGATTGCAATATAACCACTTGAAAAGATCGGGCAACCATTTGCTTGGAAGTGCTTCGTGCGTTAACAACTTTTGTTGGATTCGGCTCATCTTGAAACGTCCATGCGATCGACTGATCTTTACGCGTAATCCATATTTCATCATCTCCCACGATTTCATGTGCTTCAAGCTTTCGTGATTTTTCAAAATTTCTCCTGACCAATCGACATGACCTTTGTTTGTTTTTTTTTTTTTTTTTTCTTTTTTTTTTTTTTTTTTTTTTTTTTTTTTTTTTTTTTTTTTTTTTTTTTTTTTTTTTGAGCGATCAATCTTGTTTGGGATCCAATGTGGAACATTTTTGTTTTGCGGAAAAAAATCTCCATGTAATATTGAATGGATACTGATCCCAGTAATGCCAACAGTTGCCTCTATCTCTCGATAGGTCATCCATCCGGAACAGCAACTGATTTGGAGCTAAGACCTCGACTGAATTCACCATACCATCGATAAACGATGGTTATTGATAGATCTACATCGCCAAAAATTGGGTTAAGTTCATCCATGCACTCTTGAAGAGTTAATCCATATTAGAAGTTGTAAAAAAAAGTACCGCGATAATGTGCACGATTTCATTCCATTTTCTTTGCGGAGTTGAATGTTTCAAGTTACTGTAAGCCACACAAATAACGGTCGTATGTCAAAACGTTCCGAGTATGTGCAACATCAAAAATGCCAAAGTTTACGATAAAGATGTGAGTTGCTAGATTGCAACACTGAGGTTACCAAATTCTGAAATGTAGCGTTTAGTAGATGTTCGCTTAAGACTCGAAAAGTTTGCTTTCAAGAGTCTAATTTTTAACCTGTACAAGTTGGATAGCACAAGGCATTCAGTGAAGCACGCGAAGTCATCAAAAATTGCCTTATGCGAGTCATCCATCCACCTCTGTTAAGGATGATTTGACATAAAAAGATAAAGAAACAATATTTGCATAAGAGAGATATGAGAGGATTTCAAGATTTCTTATGGGTAGCCTCAACACATGTTGGTTAATGTTTTTGGGCATGAAACGTGAGGAGCGTCAAAATCAAACAATCGACGCGTCTCACATTTTGTAGTATTATATTTAAATACCAGTATACACTGATTTGGATACGTTTATTTCTGCCTCTTAAAGTTACAATCCGCCTTCTCTTTCGCAAGAAACTATATCGGTGGTTTTAAATTCTCGTGCTCACATATGAAGAATACCTTCTAAAGTTTGTGTATTGGAAATATTATTATTCATATGCAAGAAATGGTTCGGCCTGCTTATACCATTGAAGTATAAGATCGACTCTTTTTCGTATTGACCACGAGAGATAGAAAATGTTAGAAAGCGAGATATAGTTCCATCCCTTTTTTTTACTTTTTTTGGTTGCATTTAGCAGTAAAATACTTTAGTTTTTGACGTCTTAAGGGAAAGGAAGAAAAAACTTTGTCTATATTACTAAGAAAGTTTGATACATTTAGGTTATGAGTACGGAAAGCCTGACATTACTAAAGCTTTCCAGCATTATCTCACTCTTTTTTGAGCTTTGCTAGTTCTAGTTCTCTTCTTCCCTTCTCCTCTTTTGTTCATTCATTTAGTTGTAATCGAAGACAATGTACTGGGTACTTAACGGGTCAAACGGATATTTTTTCATATCTGGGTTGTCATACTTTTCAGGTCATGATGATTGAACAAAAACGTTCTGTAAAGTATTAATTCTTTTTCAGCAATAACAGTAAAATTATATTAGTGTGTTAGATAGTTTCACAACGTTTTAGAACTTTACCTTGATGTCGAACCAGAAATTTATAAATATTTAAATATTTACACGGTTTATTACTAGATTTACATGGTTTATTACTAGATAAATTAGATCTAGCCAACTGTGGGCTGAACTGTACTCCCTCACAAACTAATCAAATTATTCTAAATGACTTGATAAGATAACTCAATGAAGTTCGAGGCAAACTATTTAAATGGCGACATCACAAACTAATTTCCAGTTGAATTGCAGTTGCCTGTGGATTTGTATTGCGAAAATTGATAAATTGTTGAAAAAGAAATAATAATACTTAAATAATCTAAATCGAATTCAAAAAGATTTCAATATGTTCACATTAATTTCGAAAAATGTAAGTTAGAAATTCCCAGTGTCTTATTTCAATAATATAATTTTTTTGTTTTTAGTGCGTGTCCGCCATTTTTCTACTTCTTCTATTCTCCGATTCGTCGAATTACGTTTGTTCCTTGTGCAATACCTGCTCTGTATCAAGTAATTTAGCCTGCGTGTCGAAAACGGAGTTCACAGTGTGCGTCAATGGCTTTCCTACGGGAACGGCGTCTAGTTGCCCAGATGGATATATTTGCTCGACAACTGCGGCCAGCATCTGTGTATCGAGCACTGTTACGAGTGTAATTGGCGATTGTGGAGAATGCAAAACCTGTGATACCTCCCACACATTTGCCTGCACTGGTGTTCGCACGTATGCCCTTTGCTTAGGCACAGACACCATCAGTGATTTAGGTGGCAGCTGTGCGCCCTATCATGTGTGTAGTATCGACTATCCATACATATGCGGCAATGAAACCTTGGGGGTCAGTTTCTAAGATATAGTGGAAAAATTATTATTGAATTTGCCATTTCCCTATACAGATTCCATCCACGTGTTCGACTGCTGAGGAAACAGATACCACAACTACAACTGAGAGTACCACAACGACAATTGCGACGACTACTTCAGGTTCGGTACTCGTGACCGATCCAGTGGCATATTGCCAAACCTTACAACAAAGTGGTCGCTTTCCAGTCGGTAATGAACTTTCGACAACCTGTAAACAGTGAGTTGTTTTTAACGCCTCTACTTTTAGTTGCTTATATATTTAAGTTTGTCTTCTCTCTGCATTTTAGGTATGTCTTCTGTTTCGTAAATAACAGCGTTTGGAATGGCGTGCTCTACTACTGCCCAGGTGAAACTTATTTCGATAGTACTGCACGATATTGTTCACCAACCATACCGGTACGTTGTGAGAGTGCATCGCGGTCATTATATCTGCGAGGTTATGAAATAGTTTTCGATGATGGCGAAACAATCGAGTGAATAATACCGATTATGAGAGGTTACACAAATGAGCAGTTATAAATGGAATATGAGGTCGAGGAATCTTGTAAAGGAGGGAACTTTGTAGTGAAAGTTCTGAAAAATAAGAAGTGTTTGCTGTTGTGACGTCACCGTAACAGCATTTTTTGTCCAATCTACCACAAACTACTTCACTCTGTACTCTCTCACAAAGGTTGTTATTATTATTACATAGTTAAAATACCAGTCAGGTTAGGTTAGGTACCTAACATAACCTAATGTACCAGTGTTATGCATTTAAATAAATAAGAACAAGATGAATCAGTATTTTGGAAAAAATTAAGAAACTACATACATTTTACAGTAAGCCATTTCAGCATTTGTTGGATTCCGAACAGAAATGAAGCAATAAAATCTCTTTCAAATATGGCATTAAGGTAAGTGTTTCAGTTTCTTGATATACTGCTGGAAGAAATGAGATAACCGTTTTCTGGAAAGAGATTTAATATTATTGAAACCTAAAAAAATCGAAGTTGATCTTCAGTTTTTTTATATTAGTTTGTCAAAAAAGTCTTGCGGTATTTTCGTTAGTTGGCGCTGAGAGCGCGTAGTTCTAGTTTTATTCGTCGCATTGGGTCATGCTATACCTTTTTGGAAAGCTCATTTCACGCGCTAACACGTGTTTGANTGTGCAGTTTATGGACCCGATACAGTTTCCATTTCCACCGCACAACGATCGTTTCAACGTTTCCGTTCTGGTGTAGAGGTGATCGAACATGCGCCACGCTCCGGAAGGCCTGTCGTCGAAAATTGCGATCAAATCGCTGAATTGGTAGAAAGAGACCGGTATAGTAGCAGCCGTAGCATCGGTCAAGAGCTGGGCTAGTCATCAAATGAACAATTGAAAATTCAATAAAAAAATACCGCAAGACTTTTTTGACAACCTATTATATTATAAATAACTAAACGAAAATAAATGCCGGTAAGAAAGCACTTCGCCTAGGTGTGGAGGCCTTTTCTTGGTCGTCGTATTTAATGTTCTCCTCTAAGAATAAGTGACTAAAGTTTACACAAAAGACATGCCTACAGATACTTACATAGCTATGAAACCTCGGCTAAAGCTATTCTCATTGCGAAGCATTTGGATCGACCTCTTTATTGAGGTATGATGCCATTTGCTTTAACTAAGCTTGAAATTAAGTTAAAGCAAAGAAGTCTGTGCATATATGTAGTTTCTTCGAAAATCTACCAAAATATTTATGTAAAAATTCGTCAGTGTGTTCAGCAACGGTTTCCATTCATCATGTCACTTTTCGCTTTGGTACAACGCGTGGAAATTTTCCAAGACTACTATACAAATTTACGTTCTGCGAAAAATTTTCAACTTCCGTTGATCGACAAATCATCTTATCACATGAGACCTATTTCTCGTTGAATGGCCTCGTCAACAAACAAAATTGTAACTATTGTGGTGAGCCAATTGCATCAAACAAATAAGTTAGGTGTAGCCGAATATTTCATACTTTCGCAACTTGCAAGGATTAAAGCCGAGGTAATACCTCCAGGTACAAAAGACTTAAGTTATATGGATTCTATTATGTCAGAAGAGTGTTCGGTTGCAATTGGTCGAGCAGGTAACGAGCTATGTGATTTCACCTAAAAGAGGGCGTTGCCACGACCATTGTAAAATTTTTACCCCACTCATTTCAACCCCTCTCATACTTATTTCAACCGCTCTCATACCATAAGGTTAAATTTAATGTCTCTGGGGTACTTAGTTATTCACTTAAGGCGCTCTTAGTAGTTTTTAACAGTACCGTTATATGGAGAATGGGCGAGGTTATAACCGATTTCATCTATTTTTACGGTAGGAGTTCTTATAAAAATATCTCTAGCCGAATTTAGTTCGGTACATTTCATTTATTTGAGGGTTGGGTCACGGCACACTTTTACAAAAGAAGTTTAGCTTAGCGGCAAATGAACAAACGGGCACACAGACAGTGACTGTCTCTCGGAATTCAACTTGCCTCGACATCTTGGTCATTTATGTATATATAAATATAAACCCTATATTTAACTCGATTAATTTTAGGTGATACAAACAAACATTTGGTAAACAATCCTATTATACCCTGTAGCAATATGTTGCAGGAGTATAAAATAAACCGAATCCATTTTGATCAAATTTGAGTGGTTTATTTCACTTTAACATCACGTCGTTCTTACTGGCAGACACTCTATAAGAAAACATTTATTCAAGTACAGTACATTGGCTTATAAATAGTGCAAGCTTTTGATTCTATGCTGAAGTATGTGTTCGCAGGACACGAATACTCAACGCCTCTCGCATTCCGACAGTATACATATCTGAAAGAGCAACACACATTAACCAACAACTTTTTTGACTTAGAACGGACTTTACCTTTTGCAATAGGGATCGTTTGGTATGGTTGGATAGAGCCCACTCCGTGTTTGTTGGGCACAAACTTCATTCGGTGTCAATGGATATGTACTAGTTGGAGTTGTACTTTCTGTAGTGGCTGTAGTTGCTGTTGTCGTATCGGTGGAAGAATCGACGACATCACAGGTAACAGTATATGTACCGGCCGTGCTAACACAAACAGCATCACTCGTTGCGTCACACACAAATCCACTGGGGCAATAACCCACCTGGCCGGTGGGATGCACAGCGCCATAGCACATTTGGAATGTGGTGCGACTTAAACATGCGAAGAGCGCATTAGCCTGAGCCGTGCATTGGCCACAAAGTGATGTGGAACCACAACTGGGCGCACGTGTTGCACTCGCTTGCAGACAGATGGCGTTATATTCGGTACACTCAAAGCCCTCCTTGCAGTGATACAACACGTCCATATTGGGATTACTATCTGTTAAAAGGTGAATGCAGATAGAGATAATATTTGATAATATTTGATAAAGAATGATTAGGCTTACCCCCAAAGCAGAGATAGAAAGATGTTGAATTAATACAGGCGACTTGATTATCCTGACAAACGTTGCACGTAGCGCTGGTTGAGTCGATGAAGAAGTAAATGCAGATTGTTACCTAGCAATGTATATGGTTAAGAAGTAACAAGTATTTTGTTAGAAGTAGTAAAATAAGTCAGTGTGTGTTCAAGCATAAACAACAACTTGATTTTGATAAGGTATGATATAAGAGATTGAGTTATACATATATACGGTATGGAGTCAGCAGTGAGTTCGGCTATCACTGAATTATTTATATGAAGGCCAGAGGAGATACTTAACCGATTTTAGCAAATTTTTAGCACCTGACCACACCATTTTCTGGAAAATATTTATCGTTCATTACAATAAGATATTTTGAAGATTGATCGGAATTTTTCAAATAAAGTCAAGGCACACACATTGAGGCTCTCACCTTCGATGCCTGGAGCCTTGATAAGTTATGGTCGGACATCGACCATTATTTATTCAGAGGTGCTCCACTATGAAGGCACTATTTTGTATTCTGATATTTTTGTTGATGTTTGTTTTATACATTGCAAGATGAAAGTATCTGATGCAGTTTAAAATTGTTGCATAATGGAAGTAGGCGTGGTTGCGTAGTCCGATTTCATCCTCTTGACTGACAAAAATTATGTTTTTGACGGATTAACTATCAGTATTACGATTTTTTACTTAATTATAACCTTTCTAGACAGATCTATATAGATAAACGCCCACAAGTAGTATTTCTTGTTACCAATTTGGCCGGTCGGAAGGAATTCGGAGTGCACCCCACCTCGGTAATCGAAAAAAACTGTCAACATAACTTCGTCACCAATAATAATAAATCTTATGATATTCTGGTAGTCGGAAAGCGTTGTTTCACAGATGTTAATGCGATGCTGTTTTCGAAAGAATTTTGTAATTTTGGAACCAATCGCTTCACTTTATGAAGGTCCATATGATCTTTCAAAAATGGTTTCTTTCAAAATGTTTTTCACTGATTATTTCGATATGCCAACCAGCGTCAACGAGTTCTCGACCCTTTTTGAGTAATTTATGCCAATCAAAAACACTTTCTCGCAACAAACAATTATCACCGAAGGCCTTGTTCAACGATCTGAACGTTTCGGTACCACGAATTTGATTCCGTACACAAAATTTAATAGAACTTCTTAGTTCAATAATTTCACACATCGTAAAAATCGCCGTATACAGTTTATGCATGAATACAAAAAAATTTCTTTTTTCTAGCACCTGTAAGTATTTCTCTCCCTTGCTTGGCATATAAATATGTGTATCTATCTTTATAACTTTCATGTGGCACAAGCAACTGTTGGGTGAACAAATTTATTATACTCGTATAAGTACCCCGTGAAACATATTTCGAGAGTTTAAAACACAAATTGATTTTTAGAGACTTTTTGAATAAAGCTTAGTTTCTCTCCAAAAATGCCTATTTATAATATTTTAGTATAATGTGTTGAAAATATTAACTTTTAATAAATTTATTTCTATACATATACGAATAGTATATAACATTTTTATATAAAGCAATTATAGGTTTCACTTCTGAAAATTCACGCACTCGTATATGTACACTATATCACCGTCACCAAAGAAAAATTAGTCCCACATACTTGCAAGAAAAGAAAGATCCATTTGTTTATCACGCGGAACGCCATTTTGTGGTGCTTTCAATAAAATATTGTGAATCAAAAGTCGCTTAAGAATTTGCACAAGGTTTTTAAAAACACTTTTGGATTCCAAAAATAATTAAGAACTTAACTTTTCACAAGCTTTTCCTTTTCACCGCTACTTGTATAACTTTTCTTAGCTAACGCGGCACAACAACTGTTAGCGCAATGAACTTTGGATTTGATTTTAAATGGGCCTCTATATTATTCCTATGTTCGGGACAGTTGCTCTCTGACACTTTTGTCCATTTCTTCTCATCTGCAATTGTGTGTTGGTAGCTATTTTTCATGCTAATTGACTTGTTGATTTTTCTAATTTAACTCCCGAAAGCGTAAAGCTTACGAGTAAATAGAATTTAGATTAAGAAAATACTGTATGAAATCAGGTACCAGTGGTAGCGTGAGTTCGTGCATGGCTAACAAATAGTTCACAAGATTTTTTGTAGAGTTGTTTTTTTTTTTTTTTTTTTTTTTTTTTTTATGGAAGAGCTCAGCTCCCATAAAAATGGTAATGCCTCGGATGTCAAAATTAATTTCGAGGAGATTCTTTGAAAAAATGTGTACGGAAAAATCGAGATACACTTTTTGTAGGTAACATTTCTTCAGAATCTCGCTAATATTTTTTAAAATTTCACTGTTTTTCTTTTCAATTTGAAACGCTACTATTTACATGGCTTCATTTTATGTAATCTCGCTGAACTTTTTTAACATAACCTCTCTGTTATTGTGAAGTCTCGTCTTGCAACTGGATTTGTATTGAGTTTTGGAAAACCCGACGTAACAAAATTTACCTAATAATATTTTATGGCGTCGACATAATATGACTTTTTTATAGTATTTCTGGGACTGACTTGAAAGGGACCTGAACTTGTCATGAAAACTCGGCTACCTACGATCTAGTCGTAACAAAGGAAGAACTCATCCTTCTCAGATTTGAATCCTGTTCCCCATTTCGAGTCTTCAAAGGTCTAGCTCTTGAAAATATTTTCGCTAAGACAGAGAATGCTTAAAAACTATAAAACTATGCATTTATATAACTAAGTTTGGGTACTTTAAGAACCAAGATCGTTTATAATATAATATATTCAGGCCAAATATGTGGTAAAATTATGCCTAAAATGACTGCATACGGAGAAAGAAAAAAGTAAACATTTATGTTTACCTAACTATTTAAATTCTTAAGCGTGTGAAATTAAAGAGGCAGACAATTTCTGCTTCTGTTGTCAAAACTAAGATAAAATTCAACTTTTATCTGTTTGTTTGCGAAGATAATTTAGAAATAGCTTAAGTATTATGAAGTAAACTCAGCTTATTCAACTTGAAAAAACAAGTAGTGGATTTGTCAAAATACGAGGGCTACTACATTTTTGCTTAAGTTTTATAGCCTATAGGCCATATTTGTTTACCGTTCTTTTGACACTTCTCTTCAGAAAGGTTTGTCAATTCATGGAAATATATATGATCCAACAACGAGTAGAAATTATTAAAATTTACTACCGATATTTGGAGTCGGTGGTCTCAACTTTAAGAGCCCTACGCCCAATTTATGGGCGTCATAATCGATCTGTAAGATCAACAATTGAGCATCTAGTGGAAAAATTTATATACACAGCCACAATACAAAATATTTCCGTGCCAATGAGACAAAGAAGTTGCCGTAATGTCGAAAATATTGCTGTCGCGAGCGCATTAGTTGAGGACGACATAAATCAGTCTCTCACACGTCGTTCTCAAGCGTTGGTCATCTCTGTGAAATCGTTGTGGTGAGTTTTGCAAAAAGATCTTGGAATACATCCTTACAAGATCAAATTGACGCTGAGCATCAACTCGAAAATTATGCGGATTTTCATCGATCAGCCATGAATGATCTGTCTGAATGACTTCGTCAATAAGCAAAATATGCGTTATTGGTATGACAGCAATCCACACGCACTTCATGAGTCACCATTGGTTCATTGTAAAACCGTTATATGAAATGTTTTCAGAAATTATCATTAAAACTAAATTAAGACATTTTTGTTTCTTCTTGATCTGTTTGAGGCAACATTGCTGTCGTCGAAGTATAAAAGAACAAACACTTATTTGTAAAAATCCTTTTCGCTCTAACCATCTGGAAAAATCTCTAAAGAACGTAGAATTGGGGTTAATATTTCGCAACTAAGGTAAGGTACGTTCGGGTTCCTTCTACAATGCTTCCTTTAATTCTATTCCAGCAAATTCGCTGCCAGCCAAAGATACATGATACGTACCAAGATGTTTCAGCCTTAGTTTAGCAAAGATGGGCAATGGAAGAGGAAGTGAAAAGATGAGTCCAGTCCACTTCATCTTCCTCATTACAGCTTTGGCAGCTTTCTCAATAAACCCATTGGAAATGGTCCAGCCAGAACACCTATAATTGTGGGGATGACTTTGCTAAGAGCCAATAGTACTGGTGAGCTCTTACGATTCACTCCGGGCCCGAAAGTTATGGCAGTTGCACAAGTTATGGTTCTTAAGCAGCGCTTGCTGAGCTCATTGGTGGTCCAATGGTACAACGCCAGAACGCAAGCAGACATCGTGGAACCGGTTCGATTCCAATGGAATGAAATTGAGGAAAGGATGCCCTCCTAGCTAGCTGATCGGATTAGCAGTTTTCAGCGATTCCGCTGTGGCCTAGTATCCATAGTTGTCTAATAGTAAAGTAGCTTGAAGATATTTCTAATGAGATCAATCACTTCTTGATGTGTTTTGAGCGCACAGTCTGCGAGCTCTGAGCTAGTTTAGCTGCTCGGCTGTCAGAGTGAATACACATCTCTCTATAGGAGCTTGCACTCTGTATTTTAACTCAAAAAGAGTAAAGTAATCAGTTTATAAAGAAATATATACATATATTGCTTTTATTTTAAACACAGTTATTTGGTTTAATAGTTTGACAATTTCTTAATTCCGCATTAAAAAATCGACCAACAGGACACTGCATTATGAGCGCGGTAAGGCCCGAGCCAGAACCCGAGCTTGAGCAATACAAGTAGCTGAAATAAATGTGTCATAGATACATATAGAAAATACCGTAACCATTTTGACAATTCTCACGTGGTACAACTGTTGTCAGCGGGATTCGAATAACGGCCAACAAGTGTTTGACTTGCACAGAACTCCACTGGTGATGGACTGGTCGTGGGTGCCACACTTGTTGCATCATTTGTTGAAACTGTAGTAGAAGTAGCAGACGGTACTGCGATGGTCCCTGGTTGTGTTGTAGTTGTGTTTATTCCAGGTGTAGGTTTTATGATTGCGGTTGTTGTAGTTGTATCCACTGGTGGTGTGGGTTGTATAATAACCGTTGTTTCAGCTGACTCACTGCTTGGTGGCGCATCCACAGCCACACTTACATCACACATATCATTGGAATTCGTTAGGCATTCATTTACGCATGGCACTTTACCGGTCTGCGCCACCGATGTGCGACATACTTGACCTGTGGGACAGGATGCGCGTATATCGGTCAGCGCATATCCCATGCACATGGTGAATGTGGTTCGGCTGGTGCAGGTGAAGCCACCATCCATAACATCGGCGCACTGACCGCATTGCTTGGTGTTGCCGCAGGCGACTTCTATATTGGGATTGCTGCTGGGATCCATACAAATTGGACCCAGTGCGGTGCAGACCTCTTCCTCATTCGGGCAGCTGAATTCTTCGCCTAAATTTGGCAAACCTATTGAACGAGATTTATTATTACACAGTTTTTTATGGAATTATGTAATTTTCTACTTGCCGCCGAAACAAAGATGAAATGTTTTGTTGCTGGCGCAGGCGACGCCATTGCTATTGCAGTTGTAACAAATCGCGGCGCTTTCCTGGAGTGTCAGTATGATAACATACACGGCGAAAAGCTGCTGAGAAAGAAAAAGTGTCTTTCATTTAATCTATGAATTATTTTTTACTTTTCAAGATAATACTTTACCACACTTTTAAACATGTTGAACTGGTCTCTTTGGCACACTAACGGTGTCGTTAAACTTGCTTGGGTTGACTAACTGTTTTCTGCTGGATGTAACTTGTTTTATGGGTATCGTAAGAGTTTAACCCTTGTATTGCCATTGTAGTTTATTAGCTTTCCTACATCTGGGCGGATTCGTATAAAAACAACTAGGTTATTTCTTTTACAGCTAAAAAAAACAACTCTGGTTGACCTCAAGACATTAAAATCATGCAAGAGAAAAAAATTTCCTTTCCGCGTCCACTTAATAGAGAACTGATAAGTTGTAAGTTTTCTTCCCAAATTGTCCCAAACACCGCCCAACACACCGCGAGAAGAAAGCGAATAAATTAGCAGCCAAAGATAGATTTTCTTTTAGACAAAATTATTGTTTTATAAAACCATTGAGAATTACAAATACATAACCAATATATTGTCAGGAACTCTTTATCAGCTTCAGGCCGATATACTTCTCATTAAGGTAGAGATAGATTCACTGCTGCGGAGTGCAGCCTCTTTCAGAGAAGTGACTATCCACTCTGATAATAGGGCTGTGCGTTCAGGCACGCACGAATAACAAGTTCAAGGCCGGTTAAAGCATGCCTTACCTCGTTAACAACGACATTGAATCGCAGGTAACTATGAAATAAACAATATGGTAACAAAAGACACCCCAGTGTCATTACTGGATGCCTTAGCTTCGCCGAAGATTGGTCAGTGCTGGTCGTCTCTCGTTTCTGGAGTAAAGCTGACGAAGTGGCAAGAAAAACCAACATCCGTTATCAATAGGATGGTACCGGGTAGGTGCCCCCCTCCCCATGTGATTCTACTGGTTAACTGGGCTTCACAGCATCTTGACTACCGCTGGGCAACCATCAATTCAGGCGCTGTCGCAAGATCCCTTTTGCTCATACGATATCCAGTGGGTTCTTTGTCCTCAGTAAGGTCAGTCTCTTGGCATATCGACAGTGAAATGTTGAGAATCTTACGTGGCCAGCTGCAGAAGGTGTATGGAAGAAAACGAAGTAGCAACATATCAACACTTCCTTTTTATCGCCCCGCATTTCCAAGATCGATGCTAAAAATTATTGTTTTAATATTAAATGCCCAATGCTAAAAATTTAGGAACTGACACACACAAATAACCCACCGAGGGATATATACATAACAAAGTGAATATAAAAGTTAAACGCCAATTGTGTTATCTACAAGTATAACTATAGTTTTTCTATTTAATTTCGTGGCTGTTACCGGGTTAAGCCACTTTTTGTTATTTTGATGAACGGCATTGCAGATAAATTGTTGTTATTCAAGTTTAATTAAGATAAGCATAAAAATCCATGTTTGGAGGATTAAATTATTTTTTGCCCCACAGTTTGGATGACCGTGATAATAATATAGCATATCTATACTAATGGAATAACGCAAGTGTCTAATTTTGGATTAAATCAGTAACTTTATTAGCAATCTGAGATATGAACACATTTAATTGGATTCAAACATACCACGTCCAGGAAATAAAATAAAATAATTGATGCTTGAGAATCAACGATTAACAGTCAAAGTGGTTTAGTCAAAGTCTTTGTGGCATCGTTGAAATATCGGAAGGATCAGTCAAAACTATTTTGAAAGACAAAGCACTATTGGTTCCAAAATCATTAAATTCTTTCAAAAAACACCAAGATGTTAATGTCTGTAGAACTGCAGGATGTCATGAAACCTATTTGCTGGCGCTGAATCTTGGATCAATGCTTACGACCCCGGTGACAGACGATCAGTGTGATAAATATAGTGGCAACGGTGAGCCCAAGCCGAAAAAACCACGTCAAAGCAGGTCAAAGATAAGGTTATTTTGACAGTTTTCTTCGACTATGGAGGTGTGGGGCACTCCGAATTTCCTTCAACCGCCCAAACTGTCAAGAAGGAATACTATTTGAGTGTTATGAGTCGTTTGCGAGAAGCTTATCGTAAAAAGAGGTCGAAATTATGAACCGACGTCTTGGTTTTTGCACCGTCGCAAAAAGCATTGATTCTTCGTGAGGTTTTCGCGAAATATTCAACCAATATCATGTCGCAACACTCAAATTCTAATCTACCTCCGTGTGACTTCCGACTATCCAGCACACTCGAACGACAGCTCCGGGGAAACCATTTTGAGACAATTGAAAACATTAAACATGAAAATGCTAAGCCTATTGAAGGCGTTTCCGAAGTTTACTTTAACAACTGCTTCGAGGATTGGCAACGTTGGTACAAGTGTATTAGAGCCAAGGGAGATTACTTCGAGGAGAATTAAAAATTTTAAAGTTTTAAAAACTTCATACAGATGTAATACTAAATAGGCGACTTTTTCATTGTTGTGAGCTTTAGCTTGGTATGGACCTTATAGGGACAAGTATAATCACATGTTTTCACCTTGAAAAAACTGTAGCGCTTCCTAATAATATTTGCAATAGTCGGTTTCTTGGTTTTAAAAATTACTGTTTACTCACTTACTTAATACATACAATTTGGAATTATTTCTGTAGCTGTTGTTTTTCAATGTCTGTTGGCCACTCTAGCTGAGCACGTACTACAGTTCTACTCATATTGTCGTAGGTCGAAGAGATGTAGTTAATTTATTTATAATTATCTATCTCAATATTTATATTTGGGAGAATGGAGTAATGTGTAGACGTTGACGCAAGTGAGGAAAGTTCTCTGATCGCTTGGGAGTGGGCAGAAATGATTCTTTTACATGTGACTCAAGCAGCTCACGACTTCGGCCAAGTATTCTCTGGGTAGCCTAAGAACATCCGTTTGAAGGCGAGATAAAGTGAAGATAGGGTTGTGCGACCATGGTAAACGAAATAAGGACTACGAATTGTGGGCATGCACTTGGAATGTCCGGTCCCTTAATTGGTAAAGTGCCGCTGCCCAGCTGGTTGATGTCCTCATGAAAATAAAGGCTGACATCACTGCCGTGCAAGAAATGCGATGGACGGGACAAGGAGATAGACAAGTAGGTCCTTGTGGCATTTTTTACAGTGGCCACATAAAGGAGCGCAAGTTTGGTGTGGGATTCGTGGTGGGAGAGAGACTCCTCCTGGCTTGTTGTTTTTTAATTGTGCTTTTATGGAAGGGATTATACTATCCAACATACCCCAGAGTTCTTTATTAACGAGACTAATTTGTTGTTAGTCTAAATGACTTTGAATTCCGTAGAGCCATTTAGGTAAAGGAACTAAAGTAGTTAGTTCAGCACATGTTCTAAATTGTATTATATTGTCAACTTTATTATTGAGCTGTTAAGCAAAAAAGACCGAAATTCATTTCGTCAGCTTCTGCTAAATTCGACTTCCACTTTTTAGCTTCGTAATAAGTTCTCTGTTCACACTCTACTTGGTTGCAATTTACAGTGGCAATTGAAAGACCATAAACACTTTTTTATACTTTGTCTTTATTTACAATCGATAAAATTTCTTATATTATAGTTTCTATATGCGAACCCTGCCCTCTGAAAGGTTCATAGTGTTTGAATATTTCTATAACTGAGTACAACCCGCTGGCAGAGCAGCTTGACATTCAATTGCACTTGAATTAAAGTATGTTGTGCCAGGGCAAGTCATCAGAATACCAACTAAACTACCACTTGAACGTACACTGCAGTAGATATATCTAAAAGTATATTAAAAACAATATAAGATTATACATTTTTCAGATATCGTTGAAGAATGCGGTGAGCACACTTACGTTCGACATGTGGCGTCATTCGGATTCGGGTAGCGACCTACTGCAGTTTGACTACTGCACACGGTTGGCTCCACACCGGAACTACTCTCAGTTGTTCCCGTTGTGGGCGTGGCAGTTGTGGCATCCGGAGATATAATATCGCACATATCCGCAATATTAGTCAAACACTGACTGACGCAAGGACTGACACCATCATTCGCACGGGAAGTTAAACAAACGTCATCGCTGGGACAGGTGGAATGTATGCTTGATGGTTCTCCACCTTGACACATGACAAACGTGTTGTGGCTGGTGCATGCGTAACTGCCATCGGCAACACCAGTGCAGAGTCCACATTGTTCTGTGTTGCCACAATCGGCTTGAATATTTGCACCGCTGGCGGAATCGAAACAAATCGCACCCAAATTGGTGCAAACTTGACCGGCATTCGGGCAGGAATATACGGCACCCTGTGCTACGCCTGCGTAAAATTGAGTGGTTGATTGAAATAACTGTATTTTTTGTAAAACAAAAAACAAAAACTAGCGCTTTTTATTTACCGCTAAAGCATAGTTGAAAGGTGGTATTTGATATGCACGCAGCGCCGTTGTTGTTGCAAACATTGCACTCGGCGTTGCACAAGCGCGCCGTCAGCAAAGCGCCAAGTATTATGGTCGTGAACTGGTGGGAGAAATGGTGTGTTAATTGAATTTTCAAAAATTTTGTTTTATAATTTTTTTATTACAATTTTTTTTTCTATAATTTTTCTATAATTTTTTAAAATAAACATTTTTTATAACTTATTCCTAATATTTTACGAATTCCTTCTCATCTCCTTACGCTATATTTCCACATTTTGTTATAACTTGCAATCTCTAGTAACTCTTGTGTTTCGTCTACTGAAGTGTTTTACAACTAAACTCTTTATAACGGCTGCTGTGGATTTTATATTTTTCCGGTTGTTGTGTTCTCAGCTGACATAATTTATATTCTGTCACTTTGTAAACTAGATTACGCTTAAATACATACGAATGCATATTTGCGTAGTTTAAATCTTAATATGTGTGAGTGTGGCGCTAATTAGACAACTTCAAGGAAATGTACTTATTTATAAACAAATGAAGCGCGTTTAACGGTAGAAGCTTAAATGGCACTAGAAGCATCCCTCTGGCATTTGAGCTCTTTGATATTCAAGACTGTTGCAAAATAGTCTTGATTTCAGTAAATACAAGATTATTTTGATGAGTTCTATCTTTAACCTGGTTTTATCGCTTTCGAAAAGACTAAGAAATTCACAATTTACCTAATGCGTAAACAACAATTTTTAGGCACATTTTGTCCTTATTTCCTTTGTTATATGAGATGTTTTGCGATTTTAAACATGCTCAAACTATTTTTCTACAATCTCATAACCTCTGCCGAATACTCTACGCAACGCAAGCAGTTGCGTCGACCACTTTGTTAGTAAAGTGTACGCTTGAAAATACTTTTAGTGCTTCCGTGGCCATGATTTCATAAGAAATTCAATATTTCTTGAAACCCAGACCAAGTTTATTGTATAAATGGCATAACAATCCAAACTAGTCTAAAGACTCATTTCACATATGATGCGGATTTTGGTAAATTTTCTTATAACCTCTCACCGTGTATTAACGGGTTGCTTGAGTTTTCGGGTTTCAAAACATCGAATATTTTTATGTCTTATTAAATTTGTGTTATTAAATTTTACAACAACTCTACGATATTTCAAGTTGATCCGAGTAATAGTTTCGGAGATACAGCCTTGAGAATTTGCGCGCTCGTTGCTAGCTGGGCTAAATGATGCGTTCTTAAATGCGTTTTTCTCGAAACTGTGCTTATGAAGTGGGTTGGCACGATTTCTCTAGAACCGATCTTTATGAAATTTTTTGCAGGTCCTTGAGATGCAACTCTTAAAATTCGATTACAACTACTCGAAAAAAAAGTAGAGAAATTTTCATTTTTTTGTAATAATGTCTGACAAAAATTAAATTTTTCAGTTTTTTTCCTTCATCCGGTTCTAAGTTGAGGTTTTAACCAAAAACAAATATTTTTTCCCTGCCCGATGGGGTCGAATTTAAATTATTTTTTTCCAAAAATTTTAAAATTTCTTTGTCACTTTTAAATTTAAGTTCAGTTTGGCAAAATAAATTAATCGATTTTAAGCGTTTTTCAACCAATTACTGCATACTGACAACAACAANACGCGAATAAACCTTTAGTGACTAGCACGCGGTAACAAAAGGTCAACACAATGAGAAGTCGGATTAATGGAAATCAGATATTTTTTTACAATATACCAAACTGTTGTTGGGAAAATGTTATTATTTTTATTTTTATTTTTTTTATTTTTTTTATTTTTTTTTTTTTGACCAATCCAAATTTAATTTGTTTGCACCCGCCGGAAATACCAAAAAGTTAATTCTCACGATGATTCAGCTCCTTGCCATAAGGTCAAACCGGTAACCAAAGCGTAAAAGTATTGAATAGATTTTTCGATAATTCACTACAAACACTTGTAGGTTACAAACCAAAAACATGAAAATTCTTATGGAACTGAGTCTCTCAGGTGGCCAGGAAAGAGCTTAGAACTCAATCCAATTGATAACTGCTGGCATTATATGCGCAAGAGAATTAGAGAAAAGTGTCCAAAAAGTCGAAAATAAATGGAAAAAAGTATTGAAGCTGTATGGAGTGAAGAAATTAATATAATTTTCTCCAACGCTTGTTTGAATCAATGCCTAAACGAATAGCCGAGTTATTGAATGAACTACTACTATAACAAGCATAATATATACATACCTCGGAATTGATTATACATAAGCCAGCCTTTAGTTGGCATTATTCATGCCCCTGTGGACTAAGAAAATTTGAGAAGGATAAGATTACTGTAATAGAGGTTTTTACTTCCCGATGGAAAGAGTTTTAAATAAAAATTGTGCAAGAATAACATTAGATCGCCAAAGATATCACACTTTAAGCCGATAGGTCTTCACATCTAGATTTTTTAAAACTACTGTGAGAGAGAATCTGCACCCAATAGACGCATTTCGACCCTCTTTTCGAAAAATTTACCAATAAGGACGTAGTTAACATCAGTTTTTAACTGACCTTTTTTTTATTCAGTTTCGTCGAGAGAACAGGTCAGTTTTTTACCCTCCCTAATTTTGGGGGTTCCAACAAGGAAGTGAGGTTAAGAATTTTATCGGAAGATAGCTGTGGAAGGTGTCCTGCGTTTTCAAGATAAAGGCTAGAAAACTTGTGAGATCAAACTTTCGGATATCCCATAGTGACGGTGGAAATAGAAATTAAACGCATGGGCAAATCTGTAAAGGCTGACTTTGCTGACTCATAAGATCGAATACACAAGTTCTGTTATTAAGGCTTAAAAATCGACTGCACATAGTATTCCAAGTGTAATCTCTAGCTCTGCCTAAACCTAATCTAACCGAACAACTACTTCATTGAGATATCAAAGCGCTGACTTAGAAGGACAGTAGACATATATCTACCTATATCTCGGCAGTTCTCACAGTTAACTGGGCTTGTGTCAGAAATCAGCATATTTCACATACTTTATTCGTCAACTTTGCTCTGGTTGAAATTCATAACATAACAGAACTTTACGAAGCGGACAAACGCACCATCACAGCTATCGCGTTTAAACAGAACTCGTGTGAAAGTGTGCGTATTTTCTGATTTATATGATTTTTATTTACATTTGGTGTGTTTTGTCATTCTCCAACTGTGTTTGGCTGTCGAGTAGCGATATAAAAAGCTGGTAGAGCAATTAAAACAAATTTAGTCTTAACTGGGCAAGAAAAACACACGGTATTCAAATCAAAATGAAGTGCAACACACAAATTTCCATTTCGGTAAGAAAATCGACGACGGCAATAAGTAGAAATATACTCCATAAATAATATTTTTTTTTTTTTTTCTAAATATTTTTCTACCTTTAGTTGCTTCTCCTTGCGACAGTCAGTTTGCTGGTGCAACAGACGACAGCGACATGCGGTGTTTGCGGGAGCAATGGCATCGCTTGTATCAGCGAGACACAATTCAATATTTGTTTCAACAACCAACCCGACAACACCACCGCCCACGAGTGCCCCAACGGTGGCACCTGTACGAGTCTGCTGATGAAATGTTCGGAAGCAGCTAACGCACCAGCTGATTGCACTACGACCACTGACATCACATGTGGCTGTGTCGCGGACAGCCCCACGTTTGTTTGCACCAGTCGCACCACCTTTGCTCAATGCAATGGCGCGACAGTCGTTACAACGGGCACGTGTCCGACCGGTTTAACATGTGCGGCACGGAGAGGTGGAGATATTTGTGTAGATGCATGTTATTTAGACGGTGAAATTGAGTGCGATCTTGATGCTCCTGCGAGTTAAAGACATCCTGCTTCGAGTTGAGAAATGCTTATACTTGTTTAGGCTAAAATTGTTTGTTGTATGAATAAAGAGAAAAGTAAAATATACGATTTATTTAGTTAAATAAATTCTTCTATAATTGAAAGCACGTTGTTGAGTATTTAAAAGGATCAGTGGTATAATGAGCTCTTGATTATTGGTATATTTATACCCTGGACTGGGTATGTTAAGCTTGCCACGAAGTTTGTTATCTTTAATTGGAAAAGTTGAAGATCTTACAAGTATATAAATGTTCAGCGGTAATAGCTGAGTCGATTTAACCATAAACAACTCTCTGCTCCACTTATAGTGTATTCTATACAGTTTTAGACGTATAGTATCTATTTGAAAATTTGCATGCACTTCTTATGTAGAAACCGCTCATTTGCTAATATCGGACCACAACAGAATATAGCTGGCAACGATAGATCCAAATCAATAATATGCTGGAAAACTTTGTTATTTGAACAACTCTCCTCACGAAATTTCACAAATATTAGGTTGTCAAAAGAGTCTTGCAGTATTTTTATTGAAATTTTAATTGTTCATAAAATTTTTTTTGATGACTCATGCCCAGCTCTTGACCGATGATACGGCTGCTACCATGCCGGTCTCTTTCTGTATCGGGAACTGTATCGGGTCCATAAACTGCACAAATTTTATTGGCGGCTTGAGATGCATTTTTGCCTTTATCGTTGTAGTACTGTAAAATATGCCGTATTTTCTCTTTATTTTGCTCCATGTTTGCGACGCTGTAACTCACGAACAACTTAAAAGAAACACCAATCAGTCAAACGCGTGAAATGAGCTCTCCAAAAAGGTATAGCATGACCCGATGCGACGAATAAAACCAGAACTACGCGCTCTCAGCCCCAACTAGCGAAAATGCCGCAAGACTTTTTTCTTCAATTTGGTTGAACGGGCTTCAAAATGTTTTTGAGCCATGTCCAGGACAGCCATTCGCATCACCTGAAGGTTAACACGTCAATAAAATGACGGAATTTTTGCTTGATAATTAACGATTAACAGCAGGGTTTTTACTGGATTGTAGGAATATCGGAAGGATCAGTGAAACCAATTTTAAAAGATTATTTGGGTCAAGAAAAGGATATTCCGAAAATTGACTTTAACAACTGTTTCGAGGGTTGGAACAAACGTCGGCACAAATGTATTGGGGCCAAAGAGGATTACTTTGAGGAGGACAACATAGATTTTAAAGAATGAATTAAGAATTTTGATATTATGAAGAAAGTCTTACTGTTTTTTGCTTAAAGTAGTGATACCAGTGTAGTCTTCCAGAAGAAGTTTGCAGATCGCGTTCGACGTGTCATATTCTTGTAACACATGTCTGATCAGCGGACCTTGTTAAAGCTGGCATTGTACTATAGTCTAATTTGAATTACTTATTGAATTTACTCTGAAACATTTTGAGTTATCAGAATATAATGATCAGCCGCCTTATAAGCAGAGTGCGATGACAACTATGCTAACACAAATTCTTGTTTCTAAAAACTTGAGAGTATGTTCGAAGCAACAGCCTACATCTTTTAAACATTTTTCGAAAGTTATATCAAATATTTTGTTATTTTTATATTTCTTTAATAATTTAAAATTTTTAGTCAAGGACCCAACTCTAACAGGACACTTCGATTGACGTATATTTAAATATGTATTATTATCGGATTTTTGTGTTTGATAAAGGCCCGTGCGATATGCTTAACTAAAAACTGAACCTTAAAAATTATATTGCTAACTAAAACCTGCACTTACATACAATCACCTGCAATAAAACAATCACATCAATGGAATCTTTCCTGAAAAGTTAACAACTTGTTTTTAAATTCTGTGCTGCTATTAACTTAACTGGCCTTTTAATAAAATTCTCGAGGTCATGAAACCGCTCATCCTTGCAAAAGCTTACTAAACTAGCCGGCCAGTTTCTTAACTTTTGTGGAATTTTGGCCATGAATAATGGAACTGATAACCTTTTTAGTGGTTAACGCATGCGAAAAGCGTGTACATGCAAATATTTGTATACCTGCTTGTTTATTTACTTACATTTCTAAGACGCAAATATTTTCTTTATTGTTGATATTATTTTGAAAGATAAATTTAAATTTAACTTGAGGAGCTTAATAGAACCTTGAAAACTATTTGGGAATTAACTAGTACGCATTTCTCATTTTGCACAACGTTTGTTTATGCTAAAATGCTATAGATGGAAACATTTCTGTTGTACCAGCTTTGGTTCTCTTTAATGGATATAACGATCTCACTCTCGAGCTCGCTCAAGTATCTCCGTGGTTTTCTAGATAAGAAAAACTAAGCTTGGACCGACCGAGTAAAGGAGAGATACGAGGAAAGAAACACGTATGTAATTTTCACTCCCAAGAAATAGAGATTGAACCAGCGAAGAAATATGTATATTCACTGAGAGATGAAATGGCGAAACAGGAACAGGAGCAAGCGTATTCTGTACTAATCCATATATAGTATGCAGCTTCAAACTAAGTAACTACAATTCGATCTTACAGGCCGAAATAGTGGGCGTAACAGAAGGTGCTCTAAGCAGCAATTCCATAAACATTTTAGTGGATAGTCAAGCGGCAATTATAAACATCCGTAGGGCCAATACAAAGACTCATTGCATTAGGCAATGCAAGAAGGCAATAAATAGACTTTTAGCAAGAAGACAGTCAATATCAGCTTTGACCTGATCATATAGGAATGGAAGGAAATAAAAATGCAAACGAGTTGGCCTGCTGGAGACACAATCCGCCTATGCTGCCCCAAGCTATTCCGCTCCTTCAAGGATTGTTTAAAGCAGTGGATGCTAGAGAAATAGCTCAGGTCTTAGAGCACAAGGCCTACCATAAGTTTTCTTTGAATTGTGTTGGTGGTTGACAGACCTTAAAGCTCGTACTTTAGGGCAGAAGGGAGCTTAGCAACATTGCAGGGGTCATCACAGCGCATTGGTATAAGTATTTGCGGCCGCTTGTGGTCATATAAGTACTACTATATACAACGTTTTGACATACGTCTACTATTTGTGCTGCCTGCAGTAACTTGAAATATGCAGCTCGGCCAAAAAATAGAATTAAACCGAAACCAAAAAAATAAAAGTCCTTCGTTCAAGTATTTAGGATTTGTATCTCAAAAAAAGCAGTTTCGAGAAAAACGCGTTTAAACACGACGCACTTAACCTAACTAGCCTCGTGCGCACAAGTATTCAAGGCTGTATTTCCGAAAATATTATTCGGATCAACTTGAAAATTTTTGGGCAATATTCTAGAGGTGTTTTAAAATATAAGAAGATAGTAAAAAGATCGATTTTTTTAAACCCGTAAACCCATGTAACCCCTTAAGGAAGTTAAAAATATTATATTATCGAGATGAGATAAAAGCTTAATACTCTTAACTGCATTACAAACTATTTCTAATTTCTATTTCGACCAAGGGCACATACACAACCTTGCGACTTGATTTAAAATGTTATATTTGCCAGTTAATATTTATGTACAACACAAACATTTATTTTTCCAAAGCACCCATGACGATCATTTGTAAAACAAACTCTTACATTACGGAATGATCTTTCGGTAGAACACGCTATCGCTAGGAAAGAATAATTAACATTATATTGTGACTATTTTATTTGATATGAAAACACCTAATCCATTTATCATAGTCAGTTTATCACATGAAGTTGACAAACGGTAGCTGTTTAGCATAAATCTTTTTCATCCCAAGAGTATAAATGAGCGAGATAAACCGCAATTTGATTAAAAAATTTTACAAAATTTGCGTTATTTGTTTTGTTTTCGCTATTTTCTCGCAATTCGAATTAGCATTTTTCTCATACTATATGTCTTATTGTCTTGTCTTATCGTTAGCAACATTCGTGCCGGAAGACGCAACAATCTAGAGGCGGCTATAAAGCTAACAGCGATACGACACAATTCAGTTGAATTTAGTTGTCCCTAACAAGTACAACGCAGATACGAAAATGGTTTCCACAAAAGTTTGGCTAATGGTTAGTGTGTATACATATGTACATATATATTATATATACACAAAAAGACAACTTACTTCACATTTTTATAATATTTTTTATTATTTAATAGAGTTGCCTCGTCGCGACAACCCTCTTATACTCTCCCGCATCGGCCAAGTGCAATACTTGCAGCGTCAACGGTATAGCATGCCTCAGCGATAGTTCATTCCTCATCTGCCACAAAGGTGTACCAGATTCATCGCAGGTCTTTCAGTGTCCAGCCGGAGAGGTGTGCGTTTCCCATTCCCTGAAGCGGTGTGTGCCGGGTTCTGTATCCTCAGCAGATTGCGCAGCTGACCAAAATGCCTGTGGCGCCTGTAATGGCAACAAGCTCTTCACCTGTCTCACGCCCACCACTTTTGCGCAGTGTAACAGTACTGCGTTGTTGCGGAGCGTTGTCGGCAGTTGTCCTAGTGGCCTGACTTGTGATTCTTCACGTCCTGAAATTTGTGTTCTTGGCGGCGCCGAGTGTTCGAGATAAGTGATCTGCTTTAAGTGAGTTATAAGGACGTTTACATATTGCTTTAGAAATGTTTAATGTGTTGAATAAATGATGGAAATTTAACTGTGGGCGGAAGTGCTGTTATGTGTTTCTTCATGAAACAAGTCGAGTAAATAATAGATATAAAGCACACTAGTTTTTGTGACCCATAAACCTAATTGAGATTGATATTAAGTAATATATAAACAGTTTTCCAATAAAAATAAGAGTATTTCTTTAAAAATGATACTAATTGTTAAGAAAATTCTAATTTTTTTTATTTAATAGGAAGTAGAATCGATACAAAAAATACAATCATTCAAATTATATCCACTATTTATTTTGCAGGATCAAATTCGGTGAACCCAATTTTCGAGTACTTTTTACACTAAATCAAATCATATATTATAAAAAGCACGCTCAGTATTGACTTTGTAAGCTTGAGCCTGGTTTATTGCTAAAGACCAATGACTTCAAATATTCAAACAAGGTGTGTTTTTATGATGTTAAATCCCAACTTCTTGGAGCCCATTTCAAGTCACAATTTCTTGAAATAATCTAAACTCCAAAATTTTCCCTTAACACTTGGGTTGTTGCACGTGCTGTGTGCCACGTAGCTCCGTCTTGTTGAAACCAGATGTTGTCAAGATCAATTTCTACCAATTGCGATCATAAAAAGTGGATTTTGATCGATTCATACGGCTCTCCACTGACAGTAACGGTGTCACCAGCTTCATTTCGAATTTAGGCGAATGTAATTGTATTTCATGAATAATTTGTGGATTTTCGACACTTTAGTTTATTTACCATACCACTCAGATGAAAGTTAGCCTAATTAGAGAGATGATTTTCTTAATTATTTATTATTATTTTGATAACAAAATTTAATTATTTGTCAACGTTCTTCTGGCGTATACCTTTCATGATGAAATTGTAAACATTACTGAATACAATGAAATGAAGATCATGACTTATAAAAATGGCCGAAACGACAATTAGAAATTATATCATGCCTATTGAAAGCCCTCTACATATATGTACTATCCTTATCATAGGATGACGAGACGAACTGAATTAGCTGGAGAAAAATTTGTGACTTGGTATGCATGATAACATATGGAGGTTGGTATAGCAGACAGACAAAATTGCATTATTACTACTTCCATAAAATACTTATATATAATGGAAAACTTATAAAATTATATACAACTAAGCCATAAAATAAGTTGCATCATTATAATTTGGAGGGTTAAATATACATACATATATCTCAAAACACCAAAAGATGAATCACTCAAACTTGCTAAAAAAAATAGTTTTTTAGCTCCTCATCATACACTGTGCGATGATTCACTAAATAAATACGTCGTATGCATTCCATTTCTCTTCGTATATGATATAGAAAGGCATCATAGGAGCCTGTCACAACATGACGATGGGCGTGGTACCACCAACCGTTAGTTAATATTGTATTTCTCAGGAAATACTCCACCACATTCAACCAAATTTGATTTATAACATTACGCCGACATTACGTTGCATTATTGTGAGGAAAGAATGAACTTGAACCCTCGCCATGTCTACTTCCCATTTAACAAAGTAATAAGTCACGTCACTGTTGACATTCATAACTTTGAAATCGTAGATAATTTCGTCTATCTCGGAACCAGCGTAAACCGCACCAACAATGTCAGCTTAGAAATCCAACGCAGGATAACTCTTGCCAACAGGTGCTACTTCGGACTGAGTAGGCAATTGAGAAGCAAAGAACAAAAACCAAACTTCATAAGTACCACATAATTCCCGTCCTTCTATATGGTGCAGAGGCTTGGACGATGTCAACAACAGATGAGTCGACGTTGCGAGTTTTCGAGAGAAAAGTTGTGCGAAAKATTTATGGTCCTTTGCGCGTTGGCCATGACGAATATCGCATTCGATGGAACGACATTGACATAGTTCAGCGAATTAAAAGACAGCGGSTGCGCTGGCTAGGTCATGTTGTCCGATTGGTGAAAATATTCCAGCTCTGAAGGTATTCGACGCTGTACCCGCCAAGGGAAGCAGAGGAAGAGGAAGACCTCCACTCCGTTGGAAGCACCAGCTGGAGAAGGACCTGGCTACGCTTGTAATATCCAATTGGCGCCACGTAGCGAAAAGAACAAACGACTGGCGCGCTGTTGTTAACTCGGCTATAATCGCGTAAGCGGTGTCTACGCCAATTAAGAAGAAGAAGTGTCTGGTACAGCTTGTCTTGTTGGTCTGCTTATCCCAACGCTCTTCCATATGACGCAAAACTGCATGTGTCGTCACCGTTTACAGTAGCGTAGATGCCAACCTCAAGCGCTTGTTTTAAATAAATACAATTAAAATGTTAGTACTACCTATAAAGGTCCTGCCCTATTATATACTAATTATTTCAGACAATTTGTTAGTCAATAAATCATATTTCTGAAGTTAACTAATATTTAGTTACTTAACAAGTTACAAAATGTAATCTCTTTCCAAATAGTTTTATAAGTAAGTATGTACTTTGTAATATACAAATATAATATTTCTCTGGCAAAGTGTTGAATAAATTTTAAAATAGTATGTTACTCATACGCCACCGATACACTAACCTAATATGAGCAGCTTATAATAGCTAAGGTTCTACGTAAATACTTTACATATTTAATTAAGGGTTTAGGGGTAGTCAGTGCCACGAAAAAATGAGAATTTTTAGTCTTTTTTTTTTTTTTGCTATTAAAGCGTGTTATTTTACAAAAGTAGTAATATGGCATTATTATAGAATCTGTTGACCCTGTTCCAAACAAAGGTACTTGCGGTGACAATTATAAGTTCTAGGAGATTCATCTAAAGTCAATCCGACAAAAAAAAAATTAGTTTTATAAATAGATAAACTCGGTCCTGATCGAAGGATTTTTTTTCAAAAATTAACAAAATGGCGGCCTCAGGAAATTTTTGTCTAAATTTTTGAGAAAAAATCAAAATTTTTGAAAAACAAAAAATCCTACTATCAGGCCCGAGTTTATTTTTAGTTTAAAAGCTGTAGAAATTTCACCAGGATATCGCTTATTAATCAAATGTTATCAAAATGTAATATCATTGTCAAAATGTTMTAAAGGTACTTTTTTAAATAAATAAAACACAAACTTCAAATTTAGTGAGTAATGTTTATTACCATTCAAAAGAACATGTGTTATATCACACAATCTTGGTGACTAATCGACCGTCTTGTTGAAACCAAATGTCGCCGAGATCCTGAGCTTCAATTTCAGGCATGAAGCGTCGGTTATCATGGTGCGATAATGATCGCCATTGAGAGTTACATTCACACCGGCATCGAATTGAAGAAATATGAACCGATGTTTCCACCGGCCCACAAGCTACACAAAACCGTTGCTTTTTCTGCATGAAATGGCAGCCTTGAATATTTTCAGTTTGCTGTTTGTCTCAAATGCGGCGATTTTGCTTTTTTCTGCTATATATTTTCGTCACTGCGCGCTTTACGTGGTCTATTTGATCGAATATTATTCAATAGTGAATGCTGCGTCTCAAGATGATGTTGTGAATAGTACGCTCAGTACGCTAAGCAATACTAAAAAACATAACATGACAGTTTGACACGTCTCACTAGTGTCAAAAAAAGGCTATTGAAAAATGTAAGTAGAGATACTAAGGTGACAAGTAATTTCGTCCAAAAAAAAAAAAAATTACCAACTTCCATTACTAAAATAACCCTAAGAACACAGCCCAATAAAAAAAACTATTTTGTTTTTCGCATAGGTTTTACTAATAGTATTTTGGTTTTGTCAGCAAATATATATGAATACAATATAATACATATATGAATATACAAGAATTGACAATTTTTGTATTTTGCTCCTATATAATATCAATTTTCGCGGGCTGTTGCCATCGAAAGAGAGGGAAGAGCACAGGAGATAGTGTCACTTTCATCGATCTTTGCATACAACAGTATGTGTTCGAAAATTTGAGAGAGAGACAATAAGTTTCTTAATTTTAGCCAGTACAAAGTGCCTTGGAGAAGTTGTACAAGAGACATTGACTCGTTTCGCCATATTTGCGGCGAATTACTTAAAACGAGAAAGAAAATGTATGACTAAATTGTTGTACGCTGGTAATAAAATGAGAAAAGAGTAATGAAGTTTATAGTTCTGAGAGTTTGGTAACTCCAATCTGATGATCAACTGTCAAATATTTCAACTTTTTTTTAAGCTTCGTAGGCGAAAATTAGAGCTGGAAACTTTGTAGGCCCACAAATAAAAATATTATGGATTGTGATATTTTCCCGAAAAACTATAAACCTGATAATTATGTCGAGGATATCACTGTAGAATGCCTCTATAGATGCACATATTGCATTCTCATTTAGATACACACAATGAGTACGCTTATATCACAATGTAGTGGAAGTTGAGACTCGTTAACAAGCGCAAAAATACATTTAAAAAAAATTAACGAAATGTTAAATTCTTAACTAACATTGCACAGTATAAATACAAAAGATAGTTGCAGGAAAATTTAGTGCGGGACATAAATCTTGAAGTCTCTAGATACAAAGTAAATGAGAAGTATACAACCGGTAACTAAGTCATCTATACGACTAAGTATTTTGTGAACTAAATTTCAAAATTTCTGACATTGGTCACTACTAACATTGTGAGGTACCATCAAATGTTTAAATATATAATGCACTAAAGTGCCAAAATCTCAGTTATTTTTAGGGTTACAGCCATTTAAAGTGTAGTTGCTCAATTCAATCACTTTAGAGTTTTTCTTAAAAGTCCATGCTACTTCGGATTTGCTGCTGTGATTCTTCTGAGAATTGAATGACAAGGATCCGATCATTATCAAATAAAGAAGGTCGGAATCATAATAGCAGTGGATGACCTTTTTCGTCGGCGTCAAAGATCGCTTTTAGGTTGGAATTTTTTTTTTTTTTTTTCCTAAACATTTTGCATATTCCTAGTGTCAATTTAAGAACGTATTCTACAAAATTGAAAGATTTATAGAAAAGAAGTCGTTTTGTTAATATTTTTCAATATGTCGGGTTATGAAAGCGCTTAGAAATCCTGAAATAAACGCAAAATATTTCTTATTTTGTTATGGCATGGGGGCTCATATTTTCAAATTCTTCCTTCTACTACAATTTCTAACTCAGTTTTATTTAATTATACTCTTATACCTTCGAAACACCAAGTAATATTGAATTTGCGAACAGACAAGTTCTT